ATAAGTGCTGCTACATTGACTGAGGGTTTGGTTTGGGCAGGCAGTCTATCAAATAATTCAAAAAAAATTATTATGCTTAAAATAATGCATTATAATAATTTTTTTTGGCGGATGTAGTTACATCCAAAAATAATCAGATGTGTAACTACATCTGGTTAAAATAATGCATTATAATAAATTTTTTTTGGCGAATGTAGTTGCATCCGAAAAAAATCAGATGCATAACTACATCTGGTTAAAATTATGCATTTAAAAAAAAAAAAAATTTGGATGTAGTTACATCCGAAAAATCTACAGATGTAGTTGCACTGATGTTATTATACATCAATGAAATTTGGGATGTTGTTGCATGGATGTTATTATACATCTATGAAATTTCGGATGTTATTTCACGGATGTTATTATACATGGCAAAAATGGATGTTATTGCCCTGACCCTAAAATTCTGATAAATTCATTATTTTAAATGGATGAATGTATTTAATCCATATACTTAATATACATAATCCTATAAACAAATGTACTTCCTTAAAACACTTTAAGAAAGATCATATCGTTGCATTTTAGATCAAGTAATCTTTACTTTATCTAAAATGCAAAAAAATTTTTTGGAGAAAAATGTAAAATCAAACACACTGTGTTTGAAAAAATGTTCATTTAACAATAGATGAAATTGTAAAAAGATTTTTAAAAGTCAAAAAGAAGTATAAGTTTTTCTGAAATAAGAATGTTCTATGAGAAAATTGGTATGTTAAAAAGAAAACGAACTGAGTGGGGAGCGGGACTTATTTTTATCAAAACCTGTTTTCTACTAGTTTTAATATTTTGACTTCTTTAGGTTGCTATTATGGATAAAATTTGACATGATTGCTATTATAGATAAAACTTGACATTAAAAATTTTTGTTTAAAAAAGCATCTTTAGTGGTTCACCAAACAATCTAATTTGATAAACCACAAAAGGTTTTATGCAGAAAATTTCAGGAACTGCTTTTCTAATTAATATGAACCAACTCATCAGGCTTCATCAATATCTATGGTGGTCTATATTGAAATTGATTTGAGGGTCTATAGGACTGGGGCACTGGAGGCTGTACCCCACATATTTTCTTATAAGAAATTTTTTTTTCATTTTTAACAAAGTAAAAATAACTTTTAAAATATTGTCTTTTTTATATTTATATTTTTTTGGTTTATACTTATTCCATTCAGTTTTTGATCATTCTATATTCAATGATTTTTCTTAAAATCTTTAAGGAGAGTACAGAAAACTCTGTCAAGACAAACATCCAAGGGACCAAGGAAAATGGTTTGACTAAACAAATATTCAATTTAAGCAAAGTAAAATCACTGTTTTTGCTTTGAAGGGACTATAGAAAACAGTTTTGGATAACAAAAAGTTTGAGTTAACCAGTGTTCAACTTACCAGAAATTAACTGTACATGCTAATATTAACATTTTAGAATTAACAAATATTAATTAAAATAATGATTTTAAAAGGTGATAAATTTCTTTTCTATAGATCTAATGTTATGACAGGATATTTTTTTTATATTAAGATTTTTGCTATTTAAACAACCAGCTGTTAACATTTAAGCAGTAAAAAACATCAACTTTTTCAACTCAAAAAGTTATAAATTGTATAAATCTAAAATTCTATTAAAATCATTATTTTAGATGGATGACTGTTCTTTAATCTATATAATAGCAAATCAAAATTCTTATAAATATATGGACTTTCTTAAGACACAAAAACCCGAATGGAACAAGTACGAACCAAAAAAATTTTTTAAAGACAATATTTTCATAGGCATCTTGATTTTTATATTTAAAAAGAAATATATTTATACTTAAAATGAAAAAAAAGAGTTTTTAATTTTTGAGAAAAATTTTGGGACACGGCCATCAGTGCCCCAGCCCCATGGACCCCCTGGTCATCTGTCTTGGAAACAATTTTAACACACATTCTCATTCATTGGTACTACAAAAATGTCAAAAGTTTATGAGCTCCTAAAAATTGCCAAAAAAACATATTTAGACAATTATTATAAAATTTATTTAAATTGTTAATTACAGGTACTTAACAATAATTTTTTACATTTCTGATTATTTTATTGGATTCGTCATGCCTGAAAATAGCCAGATACACGTTTTTAAGTAAAAGGATGAAACATTTTTAAAGTTATGTGATTTGAAACCTCTAAATAAACTTCAAAAAAATTTCTGGGTCAATGTAATTACCCTCAGGTAATTCCTACAAAGTTTTGAATAATGATTTGAATTGTTGTCTAAGAACAATTTAAAGCATGTTTTAAGATAACTTCATTTCTTAGAATAAAATCCAGAAATCAAATTATTAAAGATTTCTTGAATGAAATCCTCAATAATTTGATTTCCGGAAGGTATGACATGACATTTTTAAATGTCTAAATACACTTCTTTCATCATTATTACCCTCTTTTACAACACCATTTGTTGTATTCTGACCAAAACAACTTAAAAACAAACTCTACTTACATCAAGCTCTGCTTAGATCAATCGCTTCTTTACTTTTGCCACATATACTGGAGCTTCTCAAAAACAATTTAAAGTAAAAGCTAATACTAGAGAAGTTAATAATCTATTTCTTTTACAAGTGGTTGTAACTCATTTGTCAATGGCAGATGTAATTTGACAACTTCTTTTATTTTTTGAATGACCACACTTCCATTTGTTAGTTATTTAACTTTATCATTTTTATCAAAGTATTTATGTCAAAATTCATTTATATTATTTAAATTATGTAATAACACATAAAAATAATATATTTTCTCATTAGGCTTTTATTGTATTTATTGGCCGAAACTTTAAATCAATATACTGCTGCCAGTATCAAGAAAACTTCTCTGCTCCTCAGTTTTAAAGTTGCTTATTTATCAAACTTTTAGATGGTGTTCCTCCCTCACAAAAAAATAGGTGGTGTTTTCAAATTATTGCATCACTTTCGTATGAACTCAAGTTAATGCCATATAGTGTATCTTGAAGGTCCACAATCAATTAAAGTAAGAAATCTTTCTTTCCTAAAATGTGTGATGTCGATGGCCATCCTCTCCCAATTTTCTTTAATGTTCAATTTCCCTTTCACCTATTGTACAGGTTCTGGATCTATTGACTGACATGGTTCACAACTTTTAATTACAGCTCAAACTTCATTTTTGGTAGTGGTTGGAATTACTTTACAAGCAAAGTTTATTGTACAATTTACTCCAAAGTTTTGATTCTCTTGTGTATATTAAAAATGGATTCTTTCTCCAATTACTACTCTAACAGAATTGTTCAAATGCTCAGACTCTGTTAATTTATTCAATCATCTGTTTCAAACTCTTGCTGATGCATCAGCTAAAGTATCTTTTGAAGGGACAAATTTTACATTAAAATTAAGACTATATTCTTTAATAAGTTGTTGCAGAATGCTTATTCTTTTTTGAATCAACATTTTGCCCGCCACTTTTGATTTTAATCTTGATTTACCAGTCAGAGCGTCAGAGACCCAGCAGAAAACTGTCATAGAATCTGTAAAAATAGTGCCATTTTTTCAGTTTTCAAGTCAAAGTCATATTCAGCCCTTGCATTACAACATCTAGCCATATTTATATGAACATAAGACATCTCTTTTTGCAGCCACATTGGATCCTCTACATTAGTTTTACCAATTTGAATAAGAGGGCCAATCACCAAAGGGCTGGCGCCTACCCACATGTCACCCTTAACACCATGTATTGCCCTATCATCATTAGCTGGTTTGCACATTTCTACAGAATAAACTTCTTGAAGCACACACTTCAAGAAATTTATTCAAGAAGTTTATTCTGAAGCTTATCCTCTGTTTAACTTTTTCGGAATCACATCAACTCGATTTCCACCTGACCATATCAGCTTGCCACCAACCTTACACACACACAATTCTAATACACAAACCTTATTACATCCAATCTGTTCACCTTCCTTACTCTTCAAACCATATTTCTGGAAATGTCTCCTGACATAATCAAGACTCAATACTTCCTCATTGACAAAAAATGTCATCCACATAAGTGGATTCTCCCCTCTTCACTAATTTGTCTTGATCAATAATGGCACTAATGACAGATTTGATAATCATTGACGCAAAGTTTATATGTACTATAAGCATCCACAGAGAATACTGCCAAAAAAATATACTTATCTTCTTCAACTTTTTTTCCTTTCTGAATTTTTTTTCTTCCTGAATTAAACTCATCTTTACCAAAGTTTTACATAAATTTATACAAAATAACTATAAATGCTTGCTCAGATAAGATTTGATTGCTTATATAATAATTTTGTTTTGCAATAAAACAAAATAATTTCTTGCAAAGAAATTAGTTTGTTTTATTACAATTATTATAGTTACTATCATTATTACTGTAATTAGTATAAATTTATAAAAATTATTTTTTAAGGTGTATACTTGAAATAAGTAATTCATTACTATTTGTAAATAAAATGAAAATTTATTTTAAAAATATATATGATTGATTGACTTATCTCAATAAAAATAAGTTTCATTTGACAGTGTTTACACTAATGTGGATATTTCTACTTGCATAGTTTATACTAATTTTAAACTACATACTAGGAACATATGTGGTCTGCATTTATGACGCTCAATGGTATAAAGGAAAAATTCTGAGTATTTCAGGAGATCTTAAAATCTTCATATTAAATTTATGAAAAAGTCTTCTTTATAAAGAAAATTCACAAGGCCATGCAGAAATGATCTCTGTTGGGTACCCCTGATTCATATCTTATGCAAAGTTCAATATCTTAAGGACCAGTCTAACAGAAGAAGATTCTACAATATTGACTTTAATGCAATTACTTATTTTAAGAAAAAATCACAAAGTTTCAGCAAAATCTGAGATGGTTCATGAGGAACCTCATAAAAATTTACTCCATTTGGCACGGAATGACCCATATATATGTATATATAATTTTAATTACCTGGTACAATTAGCCCTCTTTTTTTTAAACGAGCTTGAAGTGCAGCTGGTAATGTCATCTTTTAACACAGATTTTTTATGGATAACTAAATTAAAATAATAACTCACACTATATATACATATATATATATATATATATATATATATATATATATATATATATATATATATATATATATATATATATATATATATATATATATATATATATATATATATATATATATATATATATATATATATATATATATATGTATGTATGTATGTATATATATATATATATATATATATATATATATATATATATATATATATATATATATATATTCACAATGATTCAAAGATTTATTACATTACCATTTATAAACCGAATACTTAGAATGTATAAACCTTTGAAGTAATATTTTTTAGGCAAAGAAATTTGCAACTTGAAATTTTTAGATTCTGAATCTTAAGAATTTCAGTTACTTTTTTTTCAAAATCAATTTTACTTGTTATGTGAGACTAAAAAAGATAAGAAGTAATGATAAAAGTGCAGTGGAAGTATGAACTGAGTTTTTTAAATTATTAGCCAAATATAAATATAAACTTCATGGCAGCTAATCTTATTAAAAAACTTGCAGTATTTTTATCTGATAAAGCACAAAGGTTTACAGCTGCATTATCTGCTGAAAATCCAATTACTTTATCATGTATCTTGAAAAAACTTTATGTTTTCTAAATTGATATTTGTTATTGTTTTTGCTGCTTCATACAATAATTTTAAGGAAGCATACAAATAATTTCTTAATTAATAATAAGATTTTTTGACTCTTTTTTCATTAAAATTTGTTTAAATTTAGGAAGCAAAATTTTTTTCTATAATTTTTAATGATAAACTATTTTGGAAGGTGTAAACAATGCCAATCCAGTATTTAGGCCTCAGTTGATGGAAATGCTTTTTATATTTGTATTTACTGTACTAGGCCCTAATAAAAATAACAATAACTTCACATAATGCAATAGTCCCTAGTCTAGGGACAAATGCATTTTGTGAAGGTTTGTTATTTTTTTAAACTGAAGACAAAAACTTTTTATGTTTTATTTGACTGAAGACAAAATTCATTTGAAAAATAGCACACTTGAGAATTGATAACGAAAGTAAAAGTAAACATTAGACTTCCATTTGATCAATTTTATGAAGAAGTAATAATAACAAATTTGCTACAAAAAGCAAAAAATTCTGAAAAGTATCATTAAATTAGTTTCATGTAATAAATATTGCATTGATTTATTGCTTAAATTTGCTATACAAGGTTTTACTTGTGTTTTCATGCATTTTTGATGTATTTACATAAACAGATAAAGAATATTTTGACTTGCATAATAAAAACCTAGCGCTTTTTTTAGCTTATGGCTTTGTTTAGTAATAACAATATTAGTAGTAAATAATATTAAAAACAATAATAATAATAATAATAATAATAATAATAATAATAATAATAATAATAATAATAATAAACATAATAGTAATAATAATAATAATAATAATAATAATAATAATAATAATAATATTAATAATAATAATATAATAACAATGACTATTTTTTAAAGATGTTAATTAAATAATTAAATAACTATTTTTTAAAGATGTTAATTAAATAACTAAATAATATATATCAGCTAATATCTATTAGCTAATATTGAAATTTTTGTCCCATAAAATTATTCACAATATATTAGATATAAATAGGTGAAAATTGTTATCAAAACAAAATCAAGTTTTCACACTATTGTGTAAAGGTTGTGCAAGTTTTGTTTATTTCCGAGATTAGAAAAACCGAATATACTATCCGGTCCCGTTACTAAAGAACCGAATATCATAACAAATTTTCGGTATGGGGTCGTCCATAAATTGCGTTACGTAATTTATAAATGATGTGACGAGGGAAGGGGGACCCCTTCCTTCCTTCGTTGCAACATCGTAACTCTTTTAGTAAGATTTCCCGTTTAAGTTTTCACAAAACTTTTAACCTATCCCCACCTCTAGAGCGTAACATAATTTACTGACGACCCCTTTGTTGCAATTTTAAAGACTCCTATGCAATCAGCAACATGCCCTAATTAGGGCATGTTGCCGATTGTCTGGTGAAAATAGATAGGAGTCGTGAAAAAAAGTAACGGGATGTTTAGTTATTCGAATCTACAATCACGACTAATAACCTTACGGGCATTTGTTACGTTTTAAATTCCAAAAACTAAACGTTTTTTAAACGTTCTTTAAGTAGGAATGTTTAGAAGACGTTTAAAAGAAATTTATAATACAATTAAAACGTAACTTTTAAAAACAAATTCCCGCTGGGAACTGTTATAATATTATAAATTTTTTTTTTTTTTTTTTTTACCTAATTTAAACATAACTTGTGATGAATTATATATTCTACGATAGAGAAATTTACGTTTTTATAGCCTAGAGTGATCAGTGTTATTCATTGCAACACCTCAGCAACAGTTTCAGTCTTGTTTATTTTGGCCATTTTTTGACCCCAAAGTCTTAATTTTATCTGCAAGGTCCCTTTCTACCTCTGTTTACTTTGCTTTATGGCATTCTGTTACCAATAATTCATACTTTTAGATGCATTTAGAGGAGAAGAAGTGATAATATTTATGTTGTGTTATGCTTTCTTCCCATTCATTTTATCCATCTTAGAAAATTACCAAATTGCTTTTAAAAACTGATACTTTTTTTTAAAAAAAACATCTTCGCTTCCAACTAAGTTGCAAGCAACCACTAATTAGATTTGAAAGTTAATGGAAGTGAAAAAATGAAGATTGTAGAGCAAGATAACAAGTAACAAACGACTTAAAAAATTGCAAATTATATGAATCAGGAAAGCAAGATGAAGGAAGCGAGTTCCAAAGAACTGATGTTCGAGGAAAAAAACTAGAGGAATAAGAGTTTTTGGAGCACTTAGGAACAGTAACAGAAACAGGATGAGACTTAATTGAAAGACGAGTAACACGAGAATGAACTTTAGTAGATGGCAAAAGAGACGCTTGCTCTTTAGAGCAGTGCCCATTATCTTATTTGTAGAAAAGAGAAAGAGAAGCAGCTTTACGAAGAGGTGATAATGGTTGGAGGTTGACTGAAAGAGCAGGTCCAAATATGTTTACAATGCATCTTTGCACCTTGTCTAAAAGAGAAGTAGCATCATTAGAAGATCCGACCCAGATATGGCAACAGTATTCTATACAAGGTTGGATTTGAGATTTATAGAGATAGAGAATAGAATCCAGAGTAAGAAAGTGTTGAGCTTGATAAAGAGATGCAACTTTAGCAGATGCTATTGGAGAAAAGAAAGATCAGATATAAGAGTCAATCCTAGAAGATGAAGGGAAGATGACTCATCGAGTACATTACCGTTCATAAATATAGGAAGGTCTAAATTATTGCGATAACGATTGGCTGAAAAAAATTGAGTTTTATCTGAATTAAAGTTCACCAGCCCCATGCTGTAGCAGTAGTGAGATCCTTTTCAAGCTCAAATGCCCCCTCCAAGCAATCAGAGAGTGTTGGCTTCTTATAGTGGCAAGAATAAATGGTAGTATCATCAACGAACAATGCCACCTTAAATGTGAGAACATCTGGAAGATTGGTAATGTAAAATATGGGGCTAAGATTGAACCTTAAGAAACCCTTGAAATTACAGAATAAGAAGAAGAGTGCTGTCCATCGAGGACAACTTTTATACAACGATTGGAAAGGAAGGATTCAATAAACTTAAAGATGTTTCCAGATACACCGTAAGAAGAAAATTTACGGAGAAGATCAGCATGCCAAACATTATCAAACGCTTTAGAAATGTCAAGAGTGATGGCCTTAGCCTCTCTACCTTTTTCTAATGCACAATAAAACCTATCGGTTATTACTGCTTGCAAATCAGCCATTGAACGAGAAGATCAAAATCCATATCTATGATCAGGAAGTAAGTTATTAGATTCAAGATGAGAGATTAAGTGCTTGTTAATTAAAGATTCAAAAACCTTGCTTATGATAGAAAAAAGACTAATGGGACGATAGTTACACGAATCAGATCGCTCTCCAGAATTTTTAAAAAAAGAGATAACAGATGCTGCTTTCCAGCAGGCAGGAAAACAAGAATCTGATTAGCTCTTGTTGAACAGTTTTGAAAGGATAGACAACAGCTCCGGAGAACACTTCTGCAAGACTATAACAGGTATGTTGCCCGGGCAGCAAGCTGCAGAAAATTATAAACAGGAAATCACTTTAGATACAAAAGCTGGAGTGATATGAATGTCAAGCAATGGATCAACCTGTGTGACGGCTATAGCAGGTAGAACGCAACTAGTGGAATCAAGAGATGATATTGATGGAAAGTTTTTAGCAAATAATTCAGCTTTGTCTTTCGGTGAGGTGACAAAGTCTGAACTATACAAGAGAGATGGAATTACAAATTTGCCCTTATTCCTGATACTATTAGAGATTCTCCAGAAGTCACGAGAGCCTAATTTTTGTTATGAAATACAAGATTTCATGACCTGAGAATAGTGGGCTTTAGCGTTAGACAAAACCTTTTTACAATGGTTTCTAGCAGTAATAAACAGATGTCTGTTTTCTGGAGAATTTTTTTGCTGATAGATATGGAAGTAATGGTTTCGATTGGCAATTGCAGCAGCACAATGTGAGGAAAACCATGGAGATGAGTGAGGCTTGACCTGGAATCGTCGAGAGGGAATAAAGGATTCCATGCCAGCCTGAATCCACGAAGTTATGTAAGGAGCACATTTGTCAACAGGGAGACGAAAGATTTCTACCCAAGGGCTATCACGAAGAAAATCACAGAAAGAGTCCCAGTCAGCTTTAAGGTAGTTTTAAGATGTACAATGATAGGGGAACTCTGATAATGAAAAAGAATGAGATAATAATCTTAGAGAGATCAAACTAATACGAAGAACCTAAGGGTGAATGTGGAGAAACTGAGGACTGATTAGGATCAGAAACAAGACATAAGTTGAGTAGAGAAAATAAATGATTTGGGTTGTCTGGAAAGCGAGTTGGATAATTAACCATTTGAGTTAGGGATTGAGAAAGGCAAAAAATGTAGGCTTTAATGCCTGCAGAGTCACTGACACTAGAGCCAAGCCATTTAGTGTGATGAGCATTTAAGTCACCGACAACAACAATATTGGCTGAAGGATAAAACGAGAGGCCTTGGTCAATATGATCAGAAATAACATCAAGAAGAGTGCAGTCTTGAGATGAAAGATAGCGATGTAGAACAAAGAGAAAGGCGATAGAGTGAAGTGGTGCTAAACGAAAGCACATTATAGGGTAGTCTGTGGATTCAAACCTAGTTTGACTATTGATGTCTTTATGAATTAAATTAAAACGAATTAAAGGAAGATTTATTTATATTTATAGAGTTTTATTTATATTTAAAGAGTTAGCATATATGGATAATAATAGAAATAAATTAAGATTTAATATAAAAATTGAATTAAAAGATTTTATCTAACTGATATTTTATCAGTTAAAAAACAACATAAAAAAAAACCATACTCAGATCAAGAAAATCGATAACAAAACGACATTTAAACGAGCGATATTAAGAAAAAAATCTAACGTGCTATTAAGAAAGAATTGTTTGATAAAGTAAAAATGGCAGATAAGAAAACATATAGTTCTGAATTAGAACTATGCATATATGAAAAGTGTGCACCAGAACTTCTAGGGTACATTAGTTTTATAAATGTATACAATTTACTTCATGTTTTATTTTGTTTTAATATTGATTTTAGAAATACGATTTTGTTAAAGACACCTAAATTTAAACAACATTTATTAAATTAATTTTTCAACCAATTTTGAAATTTTGAATATTTTTTTTTCTTTTTAATTTTTTTTATTTAATTTTTATTTCTCTATTGTTAGCACTAGTTTCTGAATTAAAAACAACTATATAGATTAAACAGATTTCGTGTAATTGCATTCTCTTTTTTTGAATATAAACTGATTGCTTATTGTGTTTATTAAGAGTTCTCTGCCATTGCAGATTGGTATTATTTTCAAGTTAAATTAAAAGACAAAACCTTTATTACTCTGTTATCCACAGGCAGTGAAATTTTTTAATATGTTTAAAGTGTTTAACTTTTTTAGAAATTTTGTCAAACTCCGTATTTTTGTGTGTGCAATTTTTAAGGATTTTGGTCCAAAAAATTTTTTTAGCCAACTTATCAAGGCTAAACCTTATTTAAATAGTTTGTTTGTACAATGGATTTAAAGGTGATGAAGTTGAACCACCTCAAAAAATCAAAATAGACTAAAAATATCAATATCAAATATATATTTTGAATTTTTATCAATTCGTTTATTTTGGAATTTTGTAAAACAAAATTATAGTTAAAAAAAATGCTCAAATTTTAAATTTATATTTAATTTTTGATCCCGAAATTACGCCTAAAACATATACAGTTTACACGATGTAACAAATTTATAACTTCGTTTCCCATTTGGCCAAAATTAATTGAAAACAAATTGTTGTTCCACAAAAAGTTATTTTCTGTGACTGGCACAATAATACTTTGGGAGTGGTATCTTTTCAAGAAATTTTGTGTATATTCAAGAAAGATCTTAAATTCAGCAGTCAGTTCTTATTATTATCAAGAGTAATCTGTTTTACGTTAAAAGCAGCATGCTCGGCAGCAAGAAAAATAATGGAGACTCAAATTTTAGTTTTGCAGATGCGGTTGAGGAGAGAATGCCAAATTTCCTTAACCAGAAAGGCGTCGACAATCTAATTAGAGATTTAGGTCTGATCAAGTTGTATGGCATTCTTATGGTATCCCGGCTCAAACAATGTAATTTGTGGGATGATATGTAATTCAAGTTAATGACTCCTATTTATAAGTTCATCTCGGAGGCTCAAAGCGTTTGTACTTTTGTACATAAGGTAGGATACCTTTTGTAATTACAATTAGATGAATTCTAAAAAATCTTCAAAGATGTTTGCATGTGCATTTTGGAGATAAAAAAGATCTTTTCAGAACAGAATTCAGAAGGAGGTTTTATCATAGACGAGTTGAGTATAGAAAAAGAAATCTCTTTTTGTCATTTTAACAAGCTTAAAATTTAAATTTGAAAATTGTAAAATCTGTGAATCTAAAATAAAAATTTAAAACTTTAAATCTTGGTAAAAATAAATAACTCAGGAAATTAAACACTAAAATCTGCAGACTTTCTTCTCTTTCATTTTAAGAATTTTTTTATTAGAAGCGAACAAGAATAGCTGAACAGAATTGCTTTGAGTAAAATGTCATATCATGCTGCTCCTTCTGATAAGATAATTTGCTGTTGTAATGAAAACATGAATGTCTCACATTTAACAGACCAGATTAAGTATTATAATAAATCGTTACCATTTTTAAAAACTTTTTTTAGCTTTTTTTCTTTACAATAACTTTATCATTACACAATAAGTAATATCAGGTTTTTGTAATATAAAAATTTTGTGAAAAATAAAAATCTAGATCTAATGCTTTAATGCAAAAAAGTAAAATGGTTGAAACTTTTTTCCAGGGAGCAAATCTAGGTTTTGCGTTTTTTATAAAATCCTAACCTGAATTTAAAAAGTGCTTGAATATCGAATCCATTATTAATAGTGTATAAGTTATAACAAATTTTAATATAATATACAAAAAATAATTATTTCATACAGTAAACCTAATCTATCCGATAGATTAGGTTTACTGTATGAAATAATTCTTTTTAACATTATTGATTCTTAATTATTATAAGAAAATGAGTATAAATGGTTTAAATAAATTTAAATAATTCGGGTCTTGATTTCACAAAAAATGCGAAACATGAATTTGCTCCTTGAAAAAAGGTATCGACGAAGTAAAATCTACAAAACAAAACAAAAAAAGCGTTCTTAAACGGATTTGCCATATAAGGTTACGTGTTTATGCGCGTAACAACTATAATTAGGCTTTCAACATTAGAAAAAAGAACTTTTGCTTTAATAAAAACCTTCGAAGGCACAGGACGTCCGTTAGACGTCTTAAAGATATATGACGCCAATAGGACGTCCTACCGACGTCTAACGGACGTTTGTGCTGGCTGGACTCTTTTTTTACTTTTCACAAAGATTTACTATAGTCGCTACACATATCCGTAATGTAGATGATTCCATGTATATAGTTTTTATAGATTTATCAAAAACTTTCCAGAAACAAACTCTAATTTTCAACTCTCGTGAACAAATAAAATAAATAAATAACAAATAAAACAAATAAATAACAAATAAATAACAAATTTCACTCATTTAACAAATAGTTACAAATTTTATTTGTATTTTTATTACTTTGAAATAAATAGCATTTTTATATAAAACCTTTTAATATAGTTTGCATATAAAACTTAAAATATATTTTATGAGCAAACTATATTATAAGCTTTTGTTTAATATAGTTTGTATATTAAAATATATTCATTCAAAATATGTTACTTAAACTTATGTCAATCAAGATTTCTTGTTATTTCTATTATTAAAATACATCTTAAAAATAAGCCACAAGGGTGCACATTATGGATGATTTTTAAACAAATTTATATCATAAACTAAGCTGGGCTTGGTTTCCATCTTTTAAGTTAGCGTAAAGATTAAAACGAACAATTGTCAGATTTTGATTGAATCAAAAGTTGAAAGCTTATATATTTTATGAACGGGGTCTTGACGCGCGCGTTCTCATAAATTTAAGTTATAATAAATGTATAATGGCAAAGAGAGTGAGAGAGAGAGAAAAAAATTAGATAATCAAAAATATTTTTAATGTCAAAGAATGTGGTCGGAATTTTAAAATATTAAAAACAAAAAAACAAATAAGATAATCAAAAATATTTTTAATGTCAAAGAATGTGGTCGGAATATTAAAATGTTAAAATAAATAGCAATAATATTTGAATAAATTAAAACAAACAAAAAGAAAGAAATAAAGTAAAAAGTTATCTATCTTTCATTTAAATTGTATGTAAACAAATTTACATCCAATGAATTTATCAGAATTTTATTTTTTGAATAATTAGTATTGTTTTTAAATATTTTTAAAAATGAAAACAGTTATTTTGAAAAAGTTTATGTCATCAATTATTATAAAAGAGAAACTCAAAATCCATCATACCCCCTGATTTGCCACTAATTACAATAAAACGTAGTTTTAATGCCAGTATAATTATATCTATTGTATTGCATAAAATTTCATTTTTATTTTAAATTTGATAGAAGTACTTCAATTAAACAAAATAAAACTGCAAAGAAAATGATGATTTAATAAATTATTTTTATTTTTGTTACAATTATAATAACTTCTTAAATTATTTACAAGGTATTAAAGATATATAGATATGTATATATATTATATGGAAACCAATGTTTTTTATAACAATCGCTTCGATAAACTTCCTTTGACAGGAAATAATAGAATAGAAAAAAAATCTTAATGTTTTAAAAAAACAAACAAACATCGACATCAAAGAAAACATCAAAGAAGATTTTTTTTTTTTTTTTTGATATAATGACTCAGTTAATATAAAGGAGGTTATCGATTTTTTTCTTTTTCTTTTATCAAAAAAACCATTATGAATATTTAAAATAAGAGAAGGATTTTGCTTTTTTCTATTTGGAGTTTAGCATGAAATTGATATTGTTATTTGCTGTGCTTTTTACGAACTTTGTTCAAATACACAGTAGCAAAGTAGAATGCACTGCAAACGACGAATTTATCAAATTAGCTTTAACAAACTTTACGAATGAAAACATAACAACTTTAGAAATAAGAGCGTTTAATACAAAGTCACAATGGCACTTACAAGTTGGTTGCGAAAAAACGAACCAATCAATCTTAAAATGCCAACGATCTTCTATGAATAATTCTCAATACTTTCGCATAAATACAACAACTTCATACGAATTATTATGGCTGTATGATTGCTACAAAATTCATGGCGTAAAATTGATTAAAGTGACGAAGCAAACATGGAAGCATTTTAATATCAAATGGTTTTATCATCAAGGAGATGATCAATTTCTGAAAGAAGAAACATTAAGCATTACAGATCTAACAACGAATAAAAATTACAGTGTAAACATTCAAATTAGTAGCAATAACTCGTATAAATTTGATAGTGGTACTATAAACACGCAATATCGTATTTGCATTAAAACCACTTACATAGCACCTTTAGTTTTATTTGAAGATGCAAAAGATGTGGTACTAACATTATGCAAAGATATAAGTTTTACAGAAGTTTCGCCAAATAACTCAGGTGGTTCATCGTCGTCCTTAAAAACAACTCTTTTAGTTGTTGGCATAGGAGTGGTGGTGCTTTTTATGATATTTCTTTTATTCATTATATATAATAAAAAATGCAAAGCAGGAGGAGATCATAATTTTGATATGAATAAAGAAGAAAGTTTAATGGCTGATCATCAAGTTGAACATGATACATCTGATCAAAACTTAAACTAGATTTAAAGTGATTATAAACTAGATGTTTACAAATTGGCCGTAAACGAAACCCTTAAAGCAAGCTTTTAACTGTGTACTTAAAATACTCACATAATCCATTTTGCATCATGTAAAATGTTATCAGTTAAATTATTATGGAAAAATCTTCATGATGATACTTCAGAAGCTATTGTTAGCTAAGTACTATAAAGTAAATAGGTTTTAAATACAATTTTTTATTTTTTTGAATTATATTGCATATTGTTATATTTGATGAATGAATCTATTCGACATAGTAATGGTTCTTTTCTAAACATAGATTATGAATTAATTGACTTTTTGAATTTATGAAAGTACGAATCAATATTTCCAGTCCTTCCTCAGCCCCTACACTCCCTAGCACAAACTCCTTTTCCCCCAACTCAACCTCCTTCTATTACGATAAGTGGAATCAAATAGTTATAATAAATCTTAGTAACTTGTAAAAATTCTTGGTAGCTACGTTGTGCAATGGTTGCTAGGTTGTGCTGGGTAGCTACGTTGAGCAATAAAAGAACTACGTTGAGTAATGATAGAATGTAAAATCAAAAATCTTAGATTTCAAAATTTGTTCATGTTATTAAATCGGCTTTTTTAATCATGATGATCACATTTTTACCACCACGCTATATGCTTATTAAATGGAAAAATACTAATACAAATAATAAACTCTCGCCCGATGAAATTTTCTAATCTTAATGATTTACGAAATTTTGGTACATTGTTTCAAAGAATGTTGGTCCTGATATTTGATTTTTATTTTTCAAGATATTAGCTATTTATTTAAAATGCAACATATGTTTTGAATCAAAAAAACTATCTATAAGTACAACAGGGATCACAAACAAAGAACGATTAAATAACATTTATTAAAAGTATTTAAAAAAAAAAAAAGAAAGAAAGAAAACTTAATTTATTTTACTCTTTCAAAGAGCACACATATTTGTAAAATGTTTAGACAACTTAAAAAAAAATAATTTTATTAAGGTATATATTATCATTATATATATTGTAATATAACATTGTTAAGGTTATCTTTATAGATATAGTCTGTTGCTAAAGTTAATTAAATTTTTTTGTTTGAAAATTTTGGGTTATTTTGTAGTTTTTATACGTAAAAATTTTGTAGTTTTTATTCCTATAATACGGAAAAGTTTGAAAAATTTGAAAAGAAAAATATTGAAAAACTCGTAAATATTTTTTTTACAAGATTTTTTTGAATCTGTTAAAAATCTCTTGTATATATTTTTTAAATGAGAGTTTCTAGCTTAAATAAATTTCAAGGTTTATAATCTAATGAATTGAAATGACTTTTTAGGTTATATGTATAACCTAATAAATAATAAAGTAATAACCAAAATGTAAACCGTACGATGTATCTTTCAAAACGTACCATACGTTTCATCAACTCGGAATACAAATGCCGTATTTAAAATTTATTAAAGTTATATATAAATATGCAGTTACCTAATTTATGTAAATTTAACATTATGTTAATAAAAAAAATTCATTTTGTATAACATTATATTGAAACGTTACATAACAATAAAAATTTTAAAATTTTATAACATTAAATTAACATAAATTATATAGTTGTATATTTATTTATAATTTTAATAAATTTTAGGTACGACACTTGCATTCCGAACTGGCGGTTTGTAAAGAATAAAAAAAAATTTCTAATGAAGTTTTTTTTGTTTATATAAACAAAGCTACCGGAGAATATTACCAATTCAAAAAAATAATTATTTTATTCCGTGCAGTTTTTTATGGAAAGATTTTTTCCTAATCTGTATCTAAAAATTCTATAAAATTTTAAAAAAGACTTTTAAATTAATTACAATAAAAAGAAGGATTAAAGCTTGCCTTAATAATCTGGAAAATAATTGTTTCATTTGAAGAAAATTCACAACAAAAGATTAAACAAGCAGCATTTTAAAGTTACTTTGAAATTGCTTATTTTGCGCATGTGCAAGAAGAAGTTTTGGGTTGGTTTTTGATTCTTTAACAAGTTTCTCCTAGTAAGTTAATATTGCCGAAAACCAAACTTGGTAACAAGAATAAATGTTGTGCCCCTTATATTTGTTGCAGAACATTTTTTCTGGGCTTTTACAATGGCTAAAGGCAATGCCTCTCTAAAAAGACAATACGTCTCTGCAAATGTATAATTGATCTGTTTTTTAAGTTGTGCAATAAGCATTTATTAAATAACAGATAAAACTTTATATTCTCTTAAAATCTGGTGTGAAATTTTTTTTGGCCGTTTTACTTCATAATAGCGATCTAAAATCTTTAATTCTAGTTTTTCATCATTATTAAAATTTTTATTATTATTATCTACTATACATATTAACTTCTATAACGTTTATGTTACTAAATCTCCCCATTGAGTATAGACTTTCCGAAAAACTTGTTGAGTTTAAAGCTATTTAAAGCTTACCACACGACTTTTTTGTTGATTTCTATGTGAGTTTGGTTTCAGGAAAGTACTTTGAAGAAGTTGCACGCGAAGCAGTGAAGCATACAACAGAATCAACAAAATTAGCTTAAGCAACACTTTCGAAAAGAGTTACAAGCCTTTAGTTGGAAACATGATTAAAACAGCGCTACAATGGGCTTTTAAGAACCTAGTTATAGACAGTATTGAGAGAGAAAGGCAACTAGTCGAAAAAATCAAGTCGCTAAAAGGAGAAATAAAAACTCTTTAGTTAAACAAAACAATAACACCATCATTTTCAGCAATCCTTAAAGGTAAAACTCCAGAAACGGCAAAACAACATAACCAACTTATTCAAGTTGTCACCGTCGATAACTAATCTAGAAAGGAAAAAGAGTCAAACATCATCGTCATTGGTCTTGCCTCATCCACAACGAACAATGACAAAGACGCTGTTACGAAATTCTTTGAAGCCGTACGGCAACCAACAGTAAACGTTAACCACATAAATCGAATAAAATCAAGCAAAAACAACCAAACCTTGAACGTCATACGTGTATCAGCCTCAACTCCAACAGATAAAGCAGCAATCATACAAGCCTGTAGTTGCCATAATATCAAAGAGTATCGGGGCATCTTTGCTAGAGGGGACTGAACTCCTGCAGAACAAGCAAAATTTAACGAATATCGCACCTTTTTGAAGAAAAAGAACGACTAGTTGAACGCTCTCGGACTATTAGACCGGCCCTCTCGGAACGTCATCCACCGTAGAACTGGTGGAATTTGCTGCATTGACGTCGTTCAATCAAACTTGCAAAAAAAAAAATACGTTACAGCTATTGCCTGCGAATCATAATTTGGTTTTTTCGGTTATCAACCTCGATATTCATCTCATCACTGAACTATACTGTTCTCCATTTTTCTTTTAGACCATTCTTTGACAAAATTCTTTTCGCTTTTTTATATGTTGTTTGGTAAGTTGCAGTTTTAGAACAGCTTTTTTCCATAGCATATTGTTAATTATTAGTTTCTTACGCACAAGTGATGCTGATGTTTGACGTAGGGATGACACTTTTACTTATTTTGATGTAAAAACGCAAATTACTTTTAAGCGCAAATTACTTTACATAACTTATATAAAAATATATAACTTATTTAAATTTAAAAGTAATTCGTTTTTTTTTTACGTAAATTATATAACGTGTAAAACTTAATTACTTAAGTTAAGTTTTTTAAATGAGTAACTGTTACCTGAAAAAGTAATTTACTTTTACTAGTAAAAGTTATTTGCATTTTTACTTTTACTTGTAAAAGTAACTTA